AGATGTGTATAAGAGACAGATATATATAGGCCTAATTATTATTATATTATAGATAAGGTATATAAATGCAATATCTTCTGACTGTTTTCGGTTTAATTTATTATAATAATGCTTAAATATTCATATTTGTGTTTTCGTATTATAAGTTCTATTTATGTATTGCTTACACTGTACAATACCAGGATATTTTGATGGTCTATTACAACAAATGTTTGTCGCCAATTTTGCATTGTATAATAAAATTAATAAACATAAAACAAAGTGATCGTCTAGTAATCATCTAAATTTAGCCATGAAATTTATGTAAGTGATTATGATAACAACGTACACAATTATCGCTGTTAATGGTATAATTGTCGGTAATATTGTCCTAACAAATAGACGGTTATGATAACTAAGACATTAAAAGGAATTCGAAACGTATTACTTTTTCTGTTATCAAGTCGACCGGCGAGTAGCAAATATAATTAGTTCATCTATATAACTATGTATTAAATACATAATACTATAAAAGGCTTTAAAACCCAATTTATTTATAGTCGCGAATGATTATTGACAGGGTGAGGGGGGGGGAGGTGATGGGGCGACAAATAGGGATTCGATGATTAAATGAAGGGGCGTTAGCTGGGAAATTAAGGTGATATATGATTTTAAACTTTCACCTAAATTATTTTGCTTAACAAAATCCCAATCAAGTTTGCCTAGTGGCGAAGTCTTTTCCCCAGCTTCTCTTAATTAATACGCAACTGCTGAGGCATTACAAAATGTGACTTGTTGTTTTAGATACGTTAATTTTACATAGGCTATAATACAATTTCCTCTACCAAATATAAAACGAGGGGTGCCTATATACAGTAGATATAGTAATAGATCATTTTCATACGCTACAAATCTACAATGACAGCCTTCAAAAACATTAAAACAGCTTACTTTTTAAATGATTTTTTTAACCATTTATATTCAATTATACTGTCAGGAACTAGTGTTAAAATTAACTTTATACTGAATGTATATGTAAGAATAGAAATAGTGTGATGCTATAATGCCGGTGACTTGTATTGGTTATGCTCATCATGGTATTACTAATATTGTTATAATTTATTTTTTAGTCTCACCCTAAATAGGGGTCTTTCTATCTGCTTCGAGTCTGTCTAATCAAATCAGTTTACTTTATTTCTTGCTTACCACAATATTCTCATTTTTTCGTAGTTTGAAGCAAGAATGTATAGTCGTGACAAACCCAGGGATGAGATGATACAGGAATTAAAACGTCAGTCTGAAGAACTCATGGTTGAAAATAGAACGCTGCGGTCGAACCTTACGGAAGCTCAGACAAATCTAGCCCTCACCAGATCCGATCTAGCAACTGTACATTCTGAATATGACGAACAAATGGACTTTATTACAAGGTACGTCCTAATAATTTAATCAAAAATTTAGATTATAGAGAAACGAAAACAGGAGAAATTACATATTATTTTAGAGTAAAACGCTATTTTATGTATTTCTAATCTGAAGTGATATTTGATGTTGGATTTTTTTTTTTATTATGTGAATTAACGATCTTATCCCGTGATGCATAATTTACATCATCATTATTTGAACATTAATAAAATTACCAATGAAATATATCAATATTATTATAAATAATTACCCATCCCACATGAATTCATTGCTTAACAATTTTCGCATTATTCATTAAATACATATTTGTATAAATATTTATTTACATGTATGTACCTTCATATCCATTTATATAATGAAACAATTTAAACTAATTTAATGTTTAAGACGGTCGCTTTATCTTTTTCTCAGTGATCGTGATCAACTCAAAGAATTGGAGCGGGAAAAGGAAAATCTCCATCGGCAGGTCCAATTGTTACAGTAAGAAAAATTACATTTTAAAATAAACTATTACATTTGAAATTTAAAAAAAACCCATTACAAACGCTAGAAGAGAGTGTATGATATAGAAAATTGGGGACATAGTAAAAAGTATCATGGCTTCAATTAGGAAAGAGTGAATTCACTGATCCTCCCTGGCTTAAACAAGATGGATTGGCCTAGAATTGAAGAAACTAAATCACAAATCAACTAAATCACCTAAGAAGTTTACAAATATATATAATCAAAAAATATAACATAAACCTGAAATGTTTTGTGTATGGGCCCACCAAAGTACATGTTAAGGAATTGGTGGGGTATTTGAAATTATTTAGTAAAGTACTGTCAAAGTTAAAGGACTTTGTTTTGGCTGTAAGTACAAATTTGGTGCTAACCATCACGTATTCGAGAAACTCAATATACCATCTCCAAGACGTGTGTCCGTACATGGCCCAAAAACATGATCGCTATAAGAAGAATATTGATAGATTTCTTCAGTTTCTGCAATATGCTATATAAAAACATTCCATGCTTATTAGCAGACAAGTGCAAGTTGAATACAATTTTTGCAGAAGTCACGAGACAGTTTGAGATAAACTCGTGAGAAACAGCATATGGATAAATGCCACATTGCTGTCATGAAATGGAATTTGACAATATACTGTACTTGACCATACTGTATTTAAATTGCTTATTACAGTAATCACCTGTGGACCATTTACATTATTAATAAAAGGACTACATATTTCAAACATAATTCCCATAGTGTATACATATAGGTCAGTTAAACACTAAATTTAGCACAATCCAATTAAGATAAACTCTTAAAAACACCATATAATAAATGCACTCATAAAAATGGGATATAAAATATAATGGCATAGGTTATTGGTTTTTCTAGGTTCGAACTCAATGTGTGGTTTTAATAAACTATGAAACATTTAATTCGGAAATTAATAGCTGAAAATATAAAAGTTTTATTAACTATGCTTGACTAATCTTCAATAACAATAATAAAAATATGAATATCCAAAACACAATAACAGTTAATGAAAATATTTTGTTATAAGAAGCATCTGGATTATGGAAAATTGATGTATTTCAGCGATATGAATATTAATTTGAAATGGTTTCTGTTTTATTTACGAAGGGATGCCAATAAGAAGTTACAAGACACGAATGATGACCTCAGATCAGCCTTGGAAACAAGAGCGAAGGTAAAATATAAATTATTTAATTTACAAAACTTTTTAAAAATATTATAAATAATATTTATCAACTAGAATGGCGTTCCTCCTTACCACTTCTTGATATTAATGTATGGGATGGCATAGCTCAGCAAGGTGAATATGGGGAATGGGCTGCAGATACGTTTAATTTCATCGCTGCGCTTGTGTTTTGCTGGATGGTTAAAATACACCTTGCAACGCACAACATTGTATTTAAACCGTTTAACCCGTGTTTATCAAGGCTCTTTTTTTTGTTTACACATTAAAAACAGTACAGAAATATTACGAACACTCTGCAAACTGTATACTAATAATAGGTTTATGCGCATGTATAAAGAATAAATGAAATGGTAAACAGTCTTGTTTACATCTAGACCGTTTAACTGAGTGCATATCTATGAATGTAATTTATAAGAATTTAACATCGATATTAGTAAAATTATTTCAGATATTTAGCGTAAGCAGTACATTAAATTTAAAATCAGATGACATCTGATCATTTTGACATTTTTATTGTCTGACTTAAACTTGAGGCCTATTATCTGGTCCAGATTTGCAATCATTCTCTTATAGTTTATGTCGTTTATAGTATTATTATATCATAACTAACCCCAACATTATGGAATGCCTTTTCTGAGAGCTGAATAAGTCTGATCCATTGGATGGTTTACTAATGCGAAACGCATTAAGCCTTGGTATAATGCATAGTTGTAAGACCTGACAAACTGCGATACATATTCTCAAAATAGCAACTGTGAGTCACCAATCACGTGAAAGCAACCATCTGTTGAGTTGATAATCAACTATTCATACTGAAAATCTTCATGCTGTCAAAGCTTTTATATTAAAGATTAACGCTGAAAATGATTCCAATTACATATTTAAGTATATAATTATATAATAATAATAATAATAATAATAATAATAATAATAATAATAATAATAATAATAATAATAACAATAACAATAATAATAACAATAATAATAAAAATTTGAAAAATTCAATCTAGTTTTTAGTTGAATATACTGTGAAAGGTTCTTTAATGTATAGACCAAAGGTTTTTGAAACCTTATATATAATAATAATTATTATTATTATTATTATTATTATTATTATTATTATTATGCATATGCTAATAAAGTATTATAAGAATCAAATTTTACTTCATATCTATAATTAAGATATCATTTATAGACTTTTTAAACAACTTATGTTTCCTCAGAATGGTTCACGGACACCGACACCAGGCAAATATGGAGCGCAAAGTGCGCCATCGTTTATGAACGAATATTTGGATCCTGTTGACAGCAGGTAATATTATCAAATTTCGATTAATCAATTATATAAATGAATTAAAGTAATTATTTGAAGACAACAGATGGACTAAAGACTAACAAATTGACAAGCATGAACCCGAAACGGAGGAAACGGATACAAAAAATGTGGAGGGACGACATAAAAACAAATATTGGAAAATCAAATTGGGCAAGAACCGCAATGGACAGAAAGAAGAGGGAATGCTGGAGGAGTTCTTCACACAGCAGTGATTAAAGTAGCATCATGATGAGGGGGGGGGGATGATGATGATGATGATGATGATAATGATAATGAAGATGAATATATATTACAAAGGATTAAGGAAGAAAATTTCAAACTGATGACGTTTTTTTTCAGTAAAAGACGACGCCGAGGCCTACAACTGTCTGAATCTGACAGGGGTGCGCTGTATTACCCACAAACGGGAGATGGAGAGAGTGTACCGGACGAAGCAGGTAGTCTAAGTAGGCCTAATGTATTTGTTAACAGAGGAAACCATTACTCCTACGATTCCTATTACAGCTAATGATCGCAACAACAGTTCAATATGTTTAATTTCATAGACGTAAAAGGATGAATGTGGATGTAAAAAACAAGAGAAAACCACGATCAGGCTTCCATATTTCTCAATGAATTTTGTGTCTTAGCCATGACGTAATGTTTACCATATAGAATTTGAGAACGTATTACATCAAACATATAATAATCGATTTTATTATCTGGCTTGTAGGAGGGATTATGTCGGTCTAAAGTGATTACCATTTACATAATTATTATTTTGTTTTAGACACTTAAATAAATGGATTTAATCTTCTAATTTAATTGTTAATCTTTGTGACTAAATAATATCACAAATAGAATTTTGCTGGTCTAATTAAAAGGTGCTGTATTCATGGAGTTCTGTCGACGTACGTATCGTCTATAAGTGAAACATAGTAAAGAGTGTTACTTTTATACTGATATCTGTGTTAGTACATCATCTAATTTGTTAGTCAGCTCATTATATTATTTAACCATGACCGTAGTTAAACGGTATATCGTGTGAGTGAATTTACTTTAGAATAGATCGTAGTGTACCACTTTTAAACTAGTATAACACATCATAAACTTCGATAACCATTTTACAGTATTAACAAATTATCATTATTAATAGCTATTCATATGTTTTATTTAACAAAGCTAATTTTAGGAACCCCGATTAGTGTTTATAGTGTTTAGTGTTGTCTTATACTTGTTTACTAAGTGGCTTGGCTATGCTAAATTTCTTCAAACAATAAAGTAATGCTCACCTGATAAGTGAAAGCGCTGAATGGTTCGTTTGGTGCGATATATTAGTGAGATTATATTAGTGAGATTATATTAGTGAGATTAGGCCTATGTTTGTCTGACTCTCTCTGTTTGTTTCTTTCAGTTACGTCACCTTTCTCTTTGCCATGTTCTCTAACCATAATGCTAAGGATATTGCAATAATAAAAACGAACGTTTTTTTTACTTAGATTCTGGCAACTCGACGATGAGGGATCCAACTGAACTTGACTCTGAGATTGACAATCAAAGTCTTGAAGGTGAACTGCGTCGGGTTCTGGAGGAGCCGTCGAGGTTACATGATATTTCAGTTCCGGTTCCCGAAAATCAAGAGGTAGATATGCAACAACATTTTTATAAATCTAAACCATTACAAATTATCCACAGTATGGCTGTATTGATGATGATGATGATGATGATGATAATGATAATGATAATGATGATGATGATGATGGTGATGATGATGATAATGATGATGATGATGATGATCATCATCATCATCATCATCATGTTAATGATGATGACGATTATGATAATAGTACTGTTAAGTGATGATGCGAAAACTATGGTTTTAGTGATAATATAAATGATGTTGTTATTTAAACTGCCCTACAATTCAGTTTTATATAAACCTTATATATACAATATATTGTTCATAACACGTTTGACCTGTATATAAAGATGAAAATAACACGTTCATCAGTCTAACGATGATTAGAATGTCTCTGGTTCGAATCTCGATCGGGACAACATTCAACATCTTTATTCTACTATTACATCGTTTCAGGGTTTATCAGGAAGTGCCACCGACTCTAAGTCTGGCGATGCGGACATAAAAGAGGCAAAGTCAAACCAGTCCTCGAAATGTTCAACACCCGACTCAGCGAAGACGTTGACTGCTAAACTCCAGCGCAATGATACCTTGCGTGCAAGTGGTCGGAAGAGGACTCTGCCTCAGGTTCCATCAAAGGTAGATGATGATGATGAATCGGAAGAAAGTGTATTCGAAATGTTACGCTCCACTATTAAAAATGCTTTAGAGGTAGGAAGATGTTAGTGTCAGAGTTGGCCGATGTGTCGTGTCGTGATCATTTGTCGTGCATGGAGCCTTACTGAAATCTTCGCCTGGAACTAATCTGGATTATACTTTTATCTACTACTAACCAGTTTGTATATGTAACTTGAGTGTGCCAAGTAGTGTGTTGTATTGATTGATATACCCATCTATCCACCCACTTATTTACCCATTCATTAATCATTCTTTCATTTACCCATTTAATACTCCCATCTACTTCCATATATTATTATGTACAGTACCACCATTTTGTTATGTAACCTTTTCATATCAAAAAGATGAAATACAGTATCAAAAACGTTATAATTTAATTTGACTAAAAAATACTAGGCACCTCTCTTGGCGATTACATATTAGGGTTTATCTGGTAATGCTGATTCTAGGCTTCTTCATGCCAAATTACAAGATTTAGCTTGTAATCATACACACGTACTTAGTCTAGGCCTACACAAATTTATAAAGTTGACAAAAATTGGGTTTCATTGTTTCCGATTATTTTAATATTTATATTTCAATATAGTAAATGATTTGAGTTGAGCCAAACGAGGCCTACCATATTCCTGATACCCTACTTGATACTATATTTCTCTCTCCAACTTCAACTAGCTATCTCAGTTTTGGTGTTTCTACTGTAGTGAATATTTGGTTCTTCATTTACGAACCTTTCCCACCGTTTGTAAAATTGTACTTTTATATTGCTGTTTACCTCATGAATTATTTTGAACGATTAAAAAAAAAAACTTTATGGCTGCGTGAGACAAACATTATATTATAATTTATCACATATTACCATGTGTATCATCATCATCATCATAATCATCATCATCATAATCATCATCATCCATCTGCTCCTACAGTATCAGCTGTTAGTAGCTCTTAGTTGTCTTGATGTGTGTAACATTAACATACACTCAATTCTATATTGATGTACACAACTCTTAGTATACCATTGATTGTTTTGTTATTATATAATAATAATAACAAAATCTTACGTATTTTTTCAGACACCGACTGCCTCATCATCGATGTCGTTGCCACAACAGGCGCCCGACCGAATGTACAAAATAGTTTTAGCGGGAGATGCGGCTGTTGGCAAATCAAGCTTTATCTTACGACTCTGCAAAGGTGTCTTCCACCAGAATCTCAACTCTACACTTGGTAAGGAGTTAGTCTTGTAAAACCAAAAAAAATTTTAAATATTGAATTTCATTTTTAAGATATCAACCAAGGAATCATCTTTCAATAGACACTATTCGAAACAATGTTTCAGATCTACAAACTCTACGACCAAAACATAACTGTATGGTCATTTTGATATTTTAAAGTGGAATCTCTACGAATTACTTTTAATTGACACGATTCAATTCTGTCTAATGGTAAACGGGCGAGTATGCAGCTACGCGTTGATAAATAATAACCACTGTACCAGATAATATATACTCATAATCAGTGATTAGTTTTATGTACAGATATGAAATAAAAACCAAAAATTGTTTATGTCCTTTTTGTAGGAGTTGACTTCCAAATGAAAACCATAGAGATTGATAATAAAGTGACGACACTTCAGCTGTGGGATACCGCAGGACAGGAGCGATTCCGTAGCATTGCCAAATCGTACTTCCGACGGGCTGATGGTGTCCTGTTGCTATACGACTGCACGTACGAGCGATCATTCATTAACGTCCGGGATTGGATTGAAGCTATTGAGGTATAGAATATAGTACATA